TTGGAAGACTTCTGTACCTTCCACCCACCCTGAATCTCATCTCTGCAGCACAAGCCAGCATGGGGTCCTGTGGGTGCTCAATTGGCGTTTGTGCCGTGAGTGAATAAAGGAAACGCAGCAGCAGGTTTTGCCCTCCAGCAAGCCACATGGAAGGCACTTGACTTGAGTTCATTTGCTCACATAAGGTAGAGGTCACAGACTCACACGGCAAAGGTTTAGCGGCACATCACAGCACGGTCCGGACAGCTCTGTCCTCATGGGACTTTCAGTCCGATTGAGGAGAGAGATACTGGCCAAATGATCGCATGAAAAATGATACAGTGGTCGGGAACCAGCAGTTAGCGTAATGGCTATGTCGCTGGACTCCCACGTAGTCGACTGCAGTTCACGTCCCGGACCCGGTGGATTAAAACTCACGCCGGGCACATGTGCGTGCATGCCCAAGATCCCGAGAGGAGAGTGGAGGAGAAGGGATTGCGGCGTGGCCACCCCCTGGGGGGTGATTTCTCGCTTTCTGTCTCTATGTCTCTCTCTGTCTGGTGAGCGCACATGCCCTATAGTGAAAATCTCTCCAAAAAAAGAAAAATGATATGGTGGTAACTGATTTTCTGAAGGAGAGGTACGTGGTGCCAAGAGCCTCTACCGGGGATCTGGCGCAGTCTGGGAAGCCCAGGAGAACTTTCCCAAACAGTGTGGACTGAGTATGTTTGTCCCTTCACAATTCATGCGTTGCTGTCCTCGCACTCTTGGGAATTCCAATAACCCAAATTGTGAGTCAAACCAAACGCTATTCTATATAAATCCCCCAGTGTCCCGTGTTCGTTTAACAACATGTTAATGGAATAATGCACCCAGGAGAGAAGCCCAGCCCTTCAGTATCAGGAGGAGTTAACCGAAGAAAGAGCATTTGGGCAGAGGAGCAGCATGCTCAAAAACCCTGCCGCGACCATGAAGAACGGTGACTACCTTCAAAACACTGATGTTCTGAGAGTCCAAAGCCTCCACCCACTTGAGTGTCTAGACAAGTCTAAGTGAAAAGCTGCCAAAATCTGAATACATATTCCTCAACTGCCACTGAATCTGCAACACAAAGAGAGGAAAACCGCAACGCTGAGGAGTTTGCAGACCACCTCCTCCTGTGCGTCTCTGATCACTCAGATTCATCTTCTAGAAATTAGGAAGAAAAGAAGAACTCATTAAATGGCTAGAAATCACTGCAGGGGCACAAGAAATATGTGAGACCAAGAAAATAGCTCACCCCCAAAGGAAAAGAATAACTTTTCTTTATCCACCGACAGTACAATGGAACTCACGGAAATGTCTGATAAAGAATTTAGAGTATTCATAGTGACAAAACTAACAGAGATGGAAGAGAAGAGAGACAATGAACCACAGAAAATAAAATCCCATGAGTTCCAGGAGGGGTGGAAGTTCTTGTGAGAGCTAAAAGAGGAAACATAACCATAAAAAAGTAATCAAATGGAGGGGACCAGCAGGTGGCGTGGTGGTTAAGGTGCTAGACACTCCTATGTGGCTGACTACGGTTCAAGTCCCAGACCTGGCAGTTTGCTTTCTCACTTTCTCTCTCTCTCTCTCTTTGTGTGTGTCTGTCTCTGGTCAAATTTTAAAAAAATAAAATTAATGAATAAATAAAATGAAATAATTCTTTAAAAAAATCATATGGAACTCTTGGGGACGAAGGCTATAATACAGGAAGTCAAAACCTCCTTTGAAAGTATTAAAAGCAGACTAAATAATACAGAAAATTGAATCTCAGCTGTAGAAGACAGAATCGCTGGACTAATAAAACCCACCACGTGGAACCAGCATTTGGCATAATGGCTATGTCACTGGATTCCCATATAGTCGACCGCGGTTCGAGTCCCGGACCTGGCAGCTTAAACTCATGCCAGGCGTATATGTGTGCATGCCCAAGATCCCGAAAGGAGAATGGAGGAGAAGGAATTGTGGTGTGGCCATCCTCTCTGGAGGGTGATTTCTCGCTTTCTGTCTCTCTGTCTCTGTCTTTCTGGAAAGCGCATGCACCCTATGGCAAAAAACACTCAAAAACAAAACAAGACAAAACAAAGAAATCCACCACGAAGACTGAGAAAATAGCCCCCCGAGTTAGAATAATATACAAGAAATACTAGATACCATTAAACATCCAAACATCCAGATAATCGGTATCCCAGAAGGTAAAGAGACTAATAAGGGCATTGACAAACTATTCCATGAAATCCTGAAAGAGAACTTCCCAAACCTAGAGAGGCATTCAAAGATCCAGAACCCAAGAAATACAAAGGACCTCAAATAGGATCAAGTCAAGAAGATCTTCAAGACACATTATAGCCAGAATGACCAAAACCACAGACAAAGACAAGATATTCACACTGGCAAGAGAGAGATGTCAAGTTACCTACAAAGGATATCCCATCAGGCTAACAGAGGCCCTCTCATCAGAAACAATGAGAGCAAGGAAAGAATGGGAAAATAAATACATTCAAAGTGTTGAGTGAAAAACAATTTCAACCAAGAATACTATATCATCAAGATTATCCTTCACATGGGAAAAGACAAGAACACTCTCAGATAAACAAAATCTGAAAGAACTTACCAACACTTGACCAGCTCTCCAAGAAGTTCTGAAGGGAGTGCTTATACCAGGAAAATTAAAGTCAGACACACAGAAATAGGAGTTCTAAAACAACTAAGAAAATGACCAGCTTAATGGTAGGGACAAGTCCAGAGTTGAACATTATCTTCCAGAATTTAAATGGAAAGATTGGACCCCAACAGAAGATAAAGTACATGAGCTTGAACTGGTGAAATAGAATTTTAAGACTTTTGACTAAAACATTACTGTCTATGCTTTGTTTTCTAGTGTTAAGGACTTTTCTCTCAAGTTGTGGACCTTTTATTCAAACAGAACCCTAACCTGTTTCCTGGCTTTAAGTATTAAGCAAAGTTCTCTTAACATTTTTAAAATTTTGATTCATTAAAGCTAAAACTGCCTTTATTGAAATTAAAGAATGTATTTTAAAAATACCTATTTAGTGGGACCAGCAGTTAGCGTAATGGCTATGTCGCTGGACTCCCACGTAGTCGATCGCGGTTCAAGTCCCGGACCCGGTGGCTTAAACTCACACCGGGCGCATGTGCGTGCATGCCCAAGATCCCGAGAGGCGAATGGAGGAGAAGGGATTGCGGTGTGGCCACCCCCCCTGGGGGGTGATTCCCTGCTTTCTGTCTCTCTGTCTGTCTGTCTGGCGAGCACACGTGCCCTATAGCAAAAACCTCTCGAAAAAAAAAAAGAACCTCTGTGGAAGGGTAGGACTGTCCTTCAGTTATAAAAACTGGAGTGGTAACATCTCTGATTTGACTAATCTACTCAGTATTCATGCTGGGAAAGCTTATGTTGTATACTCTAAAGATGTACAATGATGAAATGTAAATAAAAAATAAATTTCAAAAAATGGTGACTAAAGATCTGTGCTCCCACATCCACCCAAATCCTCTTAGCTCTGCCTTCTAGAATCTGAAGTTCTCACCTTCTCTCCTTCAGCTGCCACAGACCAAGACCCATCTTCTATCTGGGTCATCGCCATAGCTTAACACATGTCCCTGCAGCCACCCTTTCTCTAGCAGGTAGTCTATTCTTAACACATTAGTTAGGATGACCATGCTCACACATAAGCCAGACCTGCCCACCTCAGCACTAAACCGAGACCCAGCGGGATGTTTCCCACTCCTTTCCAGAATGTATCAAACCAGCAACCTTTTCCACTGACTGTTCTCTCCGATGGAACGGCCTTCCCCAGGAATTCACAAGGCTCCTTCCTTAAGCAGGGACAGGTCTCTATGCAGAGGATGTCTTCTTAGAGAGACCTTTCCTGACCATTCTATTTAATGCTGGACCCCTTCTCCTGCTCAGGACTGTTTTTCTTTGATATGCTTCTCAGTGTCTGACATACAGCACATCTTACTTATTCCTTACCTGTCTTCTCCCAAGCGGGTAAGCTACCTAAGGACACACTTTTTTTTTTTGAGAGGTTTTTGCTATAGGGCGCATGCGCTCACCAGACAGAGAGTCAGAAAGCAAGAAATCACCCCCCAGGGGGGATGACCACACCACTAACTGCTGGACCCAGGACACACATTTTTTTTCCCTCCCTGGTATATAAGAACACACATTTTAATCTATTTTGTTCATGGTTGTATGACAGCACATGGAACAGTACTTAGCACACAGTAGGTGTTCAATAAATATTTCTGGAACAAATCGATTTGAATCTAGGCAACCATCCTCGAAAAGGGCTTCTGTATATAACAGGCTATCCTATTATAATAGGGTGATTATAATAATTATAGTAAGTGCTTAGACAAGCAAAATCACATCTGCGTTCCACCTGCGGTGCTCAGGGTCCGGTCAGGACCTGTTACTTGTTCTAAGCGATCTTAAAGTAGGAGCTGAGATGCACAGGCTCGAACACCAAGGCTGAACAGAACTTCTGATTCTGGGCTGCACGTTTGCAAGTTCTCCCTCCCATGCTCACAAGATAAAGGCTGCCCACACTGCAAACCGACAGCTGACCGCGCCGCCGCCACGCACTACTTATATGTGTGACTCTGGGCGGGCGACCCTCCCCCGCGCCTCTCCAGCCCCAGGGCTGCGCTGGGAGCGGCGGCCGGGGAAGGGGAGGAGCGCTGGGCGTCCGGGCGGGCGGAGTGCTGGCTCTG